ATGAACCTTCCCTCTGTGAAGCCCGAAGTCAATTAAAGGGCTAATGATAGCTATCTAAACGCCTGCCATTTGAAATAAATAAATAATGAAATATTTGCTACTCTCGATCCTATTTTGACACAGAAATGCAAATTTAGGAATAAAAAAGGACAATTGGAATACCTTTTATCAGATTTATTATCTCAATTCTACTAATTTAAATACAAGCGAAATCTAGGGATTCATTAAGTGAATTATAAAAGAAAATTGAAGATAGAGCCAACCTATGGAGCTTACTTTATGACAAACGTCTATTGGCGGAAGCCCGTGATTTATGTCTCTAATTTCCTTTTCGGAAGCATTGTTTCCTGAAACCTGCACACCGTATAATACAATGAGGACAGATGTAAGTGAACCGTATTTACTAGAAATTGCATTGTATTGAATGAATCCTGTTATTATATAATTTTTAAAATAGATAATATTTCTTGTGCTCATCTTTTTTTTGGTCTCCAACGTGGAAGGATGCATGAAAACGGGTCAGTTTCGAAGCTTATTTTCACCTTAAAACTAAATGATAACATTCTTCCTGAATAGCCTTATTTGAATAAGCTGCTTTCAGATAATTTCCACTTGTTTTTATTTAAAATTGTTACATTTCACTTTATACTTAGACAAGTGAAAGTCATTTCTTTTATGTCAAATATATTCACTCTAATGCAAATATAATTTTTTTAAATATTGGCAGAAAGATTGATGAGGCATTTGACATTATTCCAAAAAGGGATGTAGTCCAAACAGCTTTTAAAGGGAGTCTCAAAATATTGGGTGAAACCATAGTGAGAGAAATCGGAGTATATTTCATCCGCATTTTGGGTGGGAAATAATATGGCCAATAGAACATTTTTAGCCTTTAAATGACAATGAAGATTTATCTTGACTTAATATACTTGATCATATAAAAGCCCTTATTAAAATAAAAAATAAATCAAAGATATTTACTTATTTTTTAATTTTTTTCACTTTTTCTAATTCATACAACTATGTTTGGACCATTGAAAGTTTTTCACTTTAATGACATATTTCGCAGTTACCCTTTTATTGAGTATGCGCTAATTTTAAAATTGTAATTTATGATATCGCAAATTGATTTCTAATTTCCATTTCATTTGTTTTTGCCAAAGAATAAAATGCATGTATTAAAGTCATGGCTGAGTTATCAATGAATTTTCTCTGCCTGTAGTGCTACAAAATTGATATTGAAAAATCTGATGGAGAAAAAAATCTCAAATGCAAATAACATAAACAAATATTGCAGAACAAATCAAATTCCAGTAAGAATTTTAAAAATTTAACTGTCATTTAAAATGCAACAACAACTTTTCACGGGTGTTGACGTATTAACATAATTTATTTGATTGCAATAGAAATAGAGCAACGATACAATTTGCTATTTTACATATTTCTCGAAAATTTCGATCATAGCAAGTTGGATTTCCCTTCCATGATCATCAGTGTTGCATTTATTGCTAATAGGCAATCAACATCTCGCATTAAATTGGCAACACCTAGGTTATTGAAGGAGAGAGTAAGCTCTCAGGGGTTATTATGTATTTAATTCAATTTTTCGTCGATTTTCTTAATCAGGAAATTGAAATTTTCTTCCCTATGCCCATACCTTTCAAACTCACACATAGTAATGGGATTTCAGCAGTATTCTTTTTTTCTACAACTTCTTTAAACAAATCGGGTTCCATATCTAGTAACACTCCTATGAAAGACCTTCCCCCATGAAAATTATTGACAAAACTTTAACACAGTCTCTGTCATTGTTGTTCATTTGAGATTTATAAAGGTGTTATAAAGCGAAAACATTGTAATATTCAAAAGTAACGTAAGACCAAATTATTTTTGACATTGTATTCCTCCTCAGGAATTGTCAGACGGCGGTAATTGTTTGATTGAGTCAAATTGAGTGAATACAAAAGAGGCTCTATATGTTCAATAAAGAAGCTTCAACACTAATTGTCGGCCGTCTTTGTGCAACAAAATAAATAGTGTGCACTTAACTGCATGATAAGGCAATTATACCAGACAGACCAATGAAACAATCGAGACAATCTATGTAGAGGTTGCGTGGAATTAGCATTCTCTATTCACAGATTGAGTTTTGAGCAGAATTCGTCGACGCTTTCACAATGTTTTTGCACCGTTCATTTGTAAAAGATGATCTGTTTGATCTCTTTCTATTTCTAGTATCGACCTTAATCACGCTCAAATTTTCTTCCAATCAATGAAATGAGTTGTTTAGGGAATTTTGACTTTAAGAGGATAAACCAATTAAACAAACCGGGGAACAACAGTGAAGAGCATGGGATATTGGGAATCTTTTTAAAATATTACCAATTGTCTAAAACTTATTTGCTTCAAGTAAAAGGACTGTACACGGATTGGTAACGTATTTCTACCATATGTGGCAAAATTGTGATATTTTAGAAATGCACACTTGTTAAAACGGAAAAACCTATTGATTATTCCAACGTGAACATGTGTTTTGCTATTATTTCAATCAATATATATTTAGGGCATAATCTTTTGCGGGAAAAATCATCTTTTCAAAAGTTATCTATTGTGATATCTTATTTAACCCAAACTAGTAATTAAATTTTTCATCAAATATTTGGAATTTAAACGTACAATAATTCAAACAAATCGACCTCACTTAATATAATTATATTTTAATTGCACTTCTAAATAGATAGTCGTCGTGCGCATCCTGACGACCCATGATCTTTTATTAATTGTAGTAAAAAATTATGCAAATAGAAGAGAAATTATTTTAAAAATGTGCATTAAATAAGAAATTCAACTTCCCGAACACATTGCAATAGTGCAGAAACTTGTCAAGAAACTACACTGGACTATCATAACCTATTGTTTGAACTTGCGCATAGACACTCCAAACGTCAAGAAAAACAGTGCCTTTTTTGCTTGAATAAAACGGACAAAATTTAACCAATAAACTTGTAAAAATGGTTCCAAATCTTTAAAATTTTATCATATTTAATTTGCGTTTATTTAAATATATAAAAAGTTGAAATTCGATCTAAATATAACACTATTTAAAAAGAAAAGCAAATAAGTGACGGTTTTCATGGCATTATTATTTTCATGATGGCTCTTTGGTGAAAGTATTAGTATTGAGAAGAATAACAATAAATAAGAAGAATTTCTAATCAAACCTGTTTTCAAGCAAAATTTCTCTATAGAGACCATGTTACGACTTTTAAAAATAATATGCACATGTTACACTTCAAGAAATATCAAATTTATTCAATAAGAAAATATCATCTAGTGAAAACTGTTCGCAAGTATTTGTTATCGTTATTTATTGCAAGATTAGCGGATTTTAATTAATTATGTTAGCCGAATAGGATGAACAACCACATTCAAGGTATAGTATACGTGTCATTTGATAATAATCATTTAAGCAATTATAAAACATAACTTATGGCTTCAAAATGTTTTCTTTAATAAACGAACAAAAGTTTGACTCATGCAATTTTGTTCCATTAGTCAGTTCCCACTTACTCTAATCCATAGCCAAAAATATTCTAATTTCTTTATTTCCGGCAGGAATTATCATTATGAATACACTGTACATGTGCTTTAAGGCATGAGGATAGGGTAATATTTACACATATTATCAGTAAAATTAGTTTATTTCTTTATATCAAATGGCAGGCATTTTGATAGTTATCATAAGCCCTTTAGTTGACTTCAGGCTTCACAAGGGGGATGAAACATCCAAGTAAAAAAAAGCCGAGAGTAGAGGAACTGAAGAGTGTTTTTAAAGACGAATGTTGAAAATTTAGAAAAAAATGTGATTTAGTACTGGGGAAGTGGTCGAATATCTCAAGCAGTGGGGTCATGGTAGTTTGAAGTCAACTGCTGGTTAATAGACCTTTTGCCGTGTGAGTATACGTTGCCCAGGGTGCACCACGTGAAGGTAAGTCTATCGCATATCCCTTATCAGGAAAATTTTACCTGTTTTAAATCAAAATTGTTTATTAAAACTCACACAAAGGCCTTATGTTACGCCTAGATACAGACTTTTAAAATTGAGTTATTAAGCATATGACAATTAAATTTATATCCGTTTCATTTATTTTAACAAATTTCATAGAAGTTAAATTTAATCCTTAATTTACGTGCCAACTTCAGTGTCCTTCTAATTTTATGATGTCACAATAAATGTAAAACATTTTTATCACAAATTGTGGGAGTGTGCGCGTTCAACTCTAAAAACCCCTTACAAGATGATTATTCGGCCAATAATGTTGTATTGCTAAGAGCCACTCATTACAGCCACAGAGATGACTCTCAAACCACTCGAGAAGGCACACAACCAGGTATTACGACTAATTACTGGAGGGGTAAAATCAACACCCATTGATGCAATGCTCCTAGTTACAGGAAGCACCACAATAGGTTCCTTTATCAAAGGAAAGGCTTTGATCCTGTACGAGAAGCTACTGTCCATGAAAAGGCCTTGATCCTGTATGAGAAACTACTGCGCACTCATTGGACAATGTATGAGAATCTACTGCGCATTCCCATGGATAAGTTCTTCCAGCACCTATGAGAATAGACCAAGACATCTGAAAACGCAAGCTAGAATAGACCAAGACAAATCTGGTCTAATACAGAAAGCCATAGAACTGAAAAAAGCATCCACCTATAAGAATAGACCAAGACATCTGAAAACACAATCTGCAAATATGAGAATAGCAACGCAATCTGGTCTAATTCAGAAAGCCATAGAACTGAAGCAAGCATTACAAATCGACGACAAACGAAAAAAAGCCTCTCTCTCCCCAGAACCCATTAGCAGACACTGATGTAGTGTGTTGCACCCAATTGCGCATTAGCAGACATAAAAAGCCTCTCTCTACCCATGAACCCATTAGCAGACACTTGTAAAGCCTCTCTCTCCCCATGAACCCATTAGCAGACATTGAATGTTGCACCCAACTGCTCGACTTCTTCAGGAAATCAAACAATCTCCAGAGCAAATGCGCTCACTGGCCCTTGAGACAATCAAGGTCCAGAACAAATGCACTCACTGGCCCTTGAGACAATCAATGTGACGCTCGAGACAATCAATGTCAAACCAATTGACTTCTTCAGGAAATCAAACACCCCTCCAGAACAAATGCACTTTCTTCAGGAAATCAAACACCCCTCCAGTGAAACGCTCGTCCCTTGAGACAATCAATGTCAACTATCCTGCAGATCAATGCCCCCAAGTCTTCACTGATGGGTCATACGTAGAATGCCAAGCAAACGTTGGTGCAGGTGTCTATTCTGAACTTTTCTCTGTCTACGCAGCAGCGGGACATAATAGATCCGCGCTCTTTCTACGCAGCAGCGGGACATAATAGATCCGCTTTGGACAGCGGGACATAATAGATCCGCTTTTGAAGGAGAAATAGACAGTGGGACACAATAGATCCGCTTTCGAAGGAATGAGGCCATTAGGATAGCACTATGCCCGCTTTTGAAGGAGAAATAGAGACCATTAGGATAGCACTATGCCAATTATGTTGCCTGGATACGAAATTCACCAAAGCCGTGAAAATTTCGGACTCACAGTCAGCAATAAACTCAATTGGAAGTGGAGAGTCACCCAAAACAGCTGCGATAAAGGAA